TTTTGAAAGAGTATTTATTTTTATCAGAAAGGCAGATTTATAGAGAGAAGGCCTAAATCATCTAGTTTCCTTCCCAAACGGACACAGCAGCCAGAGGTGGGCCAATCTTAAGACAGGAGCCACAGCCTCTTCTGAATCTCCCAGGTGAGTGCGCAGGGACCTGCGATTTTTAACCATCATCCACTACTTTTCTAGGCCATAATCAGAGAACTCAATTGGAAGTGTAGCAGTTAGATCATAACTGGCACCCATATGCAGTATCAGTGCCATGGGTAGACACAGCCTATTAAGCCACAGGCTCCTCTTATACTGTTTTAATTTTGATTCTGTGATTCACAGATTTTCCTTTCATTGTCTTTTATAGTTTATGTGAAGCCAGTTGGTCTTCTCTAGGCACCACATCTTTCCTACACTTCTAAAGGACATTTTAATGTACAACATAATATGCCTTTGTTGTAGTTAGGTATTATATAAAATAATAATAACTTTATGATTCTTTAAAGGGTACACTTACAATTGAATTTGGTTTATATGTAGATATTTCAGTGTCATTTGTTTTGCATGGAGTAGCTTTTTTTCCTTTATTTTTGGTCTTTTCTAAGTTCTTTCCTTTATCCAGCCTACTTAGGATTGTATGAAAACATGACACACAAGTGTATGAGTTGTTACCTTAGCTGGCATCATGTACCCCACACAATGCTTCACCACACCATTTCAAATTCCCGTAAACAAGTATATCAATTACATTGCATTATGTGACACTGAACTTAATTTTTACATACCCTTTGGATAAAGACGTTTGTGAAATGATTTCCTTCTGGTTCGGAAGGGGTAGTTCATGCTGTGTTAGATCAAAACAATGAGCAGGGCTAGAGAAACCTAAGGTAAAATAATAACTACTTTAAAATAAAATGTATGAACAAGTGAATTAATGAATGCTCCTTCAATTATGGGAATATTAATTCTGATGTTTCTTTTTTTAATATTTTATTATTTTTATTGAAAGGCGGATATACAGAGAGGAGAGACAGAGAGGAGGATCTTCCGTCTGATGATTCACTCCCCAAGTGAGCGCAACGGCCAATGCTATGCTGATCTGAAGCCAGGAGACTTTTCTGGGTCTCCCACACGGGTGCAGGGTCCCAAAGCTTTGGGCCATCTTCAAACTGCTTTCCAGGGCCACAGGCAGGGAGCTGGAAGGGAAGCGGGGCTGCTGGGATAGAACCGGTGCCCATCTGGGATCCCGGGCGTGCAAGGCAAGGACCTTAACCACTGCGCCACTGCGCCAGGCCCCTATTTTTTTTCTTTTTAAAAATATTATTATTTATTTGAAAAAGAAGAGATAGACATAGACATACACCATACACTGTATCACAAAGACCCACCACCACCCAGGGCTCACCCAAGAAGAAGCCAGGAAGCTGGAGTTCAATCCTGATGTCTCCAATGGGTGTGACGGACCTCTTGGTTGTCTCTGAGGTGGTGTTGAGTGCATAATAGGGCCAGATGCTGATACTGAGATGTTGTTATTTGCATTGCGTAACATTTTAAATGCAAGTCTCAGCAAGTTCACAGCTTTGCAAATTCTCAGATATTTAGTTTGAACCTGACTCCAAGATAAACTCAAGAAAGTGACAGCAATTCTATTAATAGTTGGATACAGAATTCATAAGAGAACACGGTAGGTCAACGAGAAATTCCTAAAGTAAAACACTGTCCAAACATTTTATCAAAACAGAAGGAAGAATTTGAGAGAAGTGAAAATGTTCAGTAAAAAGGATTAGCACAGACATTGCTAAGAATTTCACCGAGGAAGGAATAAACTAAACCGGAAAACTCGGATTTCGCCTGAAACACTTCGGAGCGGAGCAGCGCATTCAGGTGGGGGATAGGAGTGTGTGACCGAAGAGCTGAAGTCCAGAGAAATAGACAAAGCAGTAGCAGCCCCACATGCACACAGGAGCCACTGCTGGCTGACGACGACTTGGCCAGAATTATGTTTAGGACCCAAAAGTCTTTCACTTTTCGCTAATGATATAACAATATTTATTTATTTTCTCCCAGTTTGGACTTGTCAGTTTGCTTGCAGTCAGGACTGTGGACAACTCCCTTACCTTATAAGGCTGTCACGGCATAAGGTAATAAATATACTTGAATATGGAAAATATAAACTGTTAAAAAGAATTTTATAGTAATTATGGAACAAAAGTGCTAAAATTAAAATGCAGAATCTAAAAGTAAAAAAACAAATCTTGGATAGAGCTTTTGCCTAAGTACAGAAGCATAAACAAGGCAGTGAGAGAGCCAGGGTCATGGGGACTGCTCTGTCCAGGTGATGCATTTCAGAGCACAGCTCTAAGCTGGCAGAATGAAAGTTCTTGCCAAGTACATGTGTTCATGTACCGAGCGCTACATTTTTGTTTATGTTGCTGAATTTGGTGAATGATTTCCTCAAACCACTCATCAGAAAACATACACTGAAGAGGTAGGTGATTGTGTTTTTTTAAAAAAGTTAAAATCTACTTATTACTCTTGGCATATTTTACTTTGTTACTCTCTCTCATTTTCATGGTTCATCTTTAGTAGCTGCTCAGTTAAGCCTGTGGTTAAAATAATGATGAGGAGTGAGGGAAGGAGCAGAAAGAGTTGTACTGATATGACTCTAGAATGTGGCACTTAATGGCTTAATGGGTTAATGTGCTTAATGGCAACCTGCTTTTTAAGTAATTGCTGAGAATGAAGAAGGCACATAGAATTGGGCAAAACCTGATTTATTCAACCATGCCTATATTACCTTGAAGCTGGTGGTGCTATGTACACTTTCCCTTTTCTGTTTGGGAGACAGCAATGCACATATAGAGACAGAAGAACCTCCCATCTTCTGGCTCACTTCTCAAATGTCCTTAATTTCTGGAGCTCAGCCAGGCTGAAGCTGGGGGAAAAAAATCAATAATTTGAACCATCACTGTTTTAGCAAGCTACAGTCAGAGGAACAACTGGGCCTTGAATGCACATGCTTTAATATGCAATGTGTCTTAACTGCTAAAACCAACATTTGCTGCATTAGCTCTATTTCCAAGAAAAGCATGCCAGCCACAGATGACAGTGAAAGCGACAGAAGAGGTTAAGTTGGAATCATCACCCTCTCCTGTAGTTTAAATGCAGCCTTTGAAATCCAGGATATCAGGTGGGAAGTCTAGAGACCCTTTTTCTTTGTTTTGTCTTGTTTTTAAATTTTTCTATATTTATTTGAAAGATGGAGTTATACAGAGAGGAAAGATCTTGTGTGTTTTGGTTCATGCCCCAAATTCCATGATCTTTCTACTCTATTTTATAATGAATATACTCTTCATTCTGCAAAAGAGGGAGTTTGGAAATAAAAAAAGTGATTTGCTGAAAAATTCTTTGTGAAACAAAGACAGTCATTGGAATGAGTAAATCTGACTCCACTGTAAATTTGTTGAAGCATTTCCCATGCTAATTTAGCTGTGCTTTTATTGATTTCTCCCTTATATTGTAAGATATTTTTCTTCCTTTCATATGTTATCATTTAACTATTTTATGGAATTACAAGATAGAGTACGAGAAAGCAAACTCTGTACATTCAACATTTTTTTTGAAGAACCCATTTTGCCTGAAGTGCGTGTAGTCTGTACTCCCAAGTCAACAGCCTTAGACTCTTCCTTTACTGCTATGTTCTTACACATACTCTGAGGTTGAGATCATGACACAGGTAGATCCAGGACAAACAAAAAAAGAGAGGCTTTTATAAACAAAGTGTGCTCAAGAGAAAAGATTTGAGGGTCTGTACTAAAACTCAACTGGTTGGTCCTCAGTCAGGTTGTTCCATTTCCAGTTTAGGCCCTGTTTATGGCCTGAAAAGCAATGGAGGATGGTCTAAACCTTCAGATCCTGCAGCCCTTTGCGGAATCTAAAACAAGTTTCTGGCCCCTGGCTTCAGATGGACTTAGCTCCAGTCAGTGCAGTGATTTGGAGAGTAAACGTGCAGATGGAAAAATGTTTCTCTGTCTCTCCTTCTCTCTGCACATATGCCTTTCCATTAAAAATAAATTTTAAAAAGAAAAATTTCACTTTCCTGGCCAAACTGATATCTACAAACCATAATTGTTATCCTATGACTTTCACAACTTAATTTCTAAATTTTAAATATCTAACAGAATTTGCATATACAGATCACAAATTACATACAAAATATTAAGAGAAACACTATATATTGTCAGGATCAAGTTCAGGTTCAAAACCAGGAAATCACAAAAAGTATGATTCAGCTCAAAGCAAGTTTTATTGGGAGTGCTTTTGGGCAAGGTTCACTGCTGGTTCAGAGGGCAGGCAGGGAGGTTGAGTGCAAAGGTCAGGGTGTCATTTTTTATGGAGGTCAAAAGAGGAAACGGGTTGAGGTCTGGCAGGCAAATGCATTTTCCTTATACGGTGTTGTGGAGTGCTGATAGGTTCTTTCTGGACTCAGCAAGTCCATAGGTCACCACTCAGCCAAAGGGACTTTCTGGGTGTTGAGATCTCTGAGACCAATTGCATCAGCCACCTTCCCTTTCAGGCCACCCTTCACCCACCAAAGCTGGGCCTTGCATTCCCTCCATTTTCTTGGAATAGGGATGGCATTGGTCTCTTAATTACTTCTTGTTGAATAGAGGCATTGAGGGGAGGGAGGAGCTGGGCCACTGGAGGGTCATTGGTTGCCTCCCGGAGGGGTGATTGGGAGCTGAGTGTAAGGGTGTAGCAGCAGCTAGGGATACTTCCTGTATCTGCGGTCTGAGAAACTTGAAGAAACAAGTGGCAAACATTAGAAGAAGGCATATAGCAAGTATGGACCCTCACACTGGGACCGACCTCATAAATAAAGTAGAGGACTACCAATCTGGGAAAACAGAGGAAGACCAAATATATTTGTTTTTCAATTCCTCCATGAGCCATGGGAGGGTGTTAACATTTTCTTCTACAAGTCAGGTTTTGTTGATGTAGCAATGACACTCCTCCTGGAGCAACAAGTATTTATCTCTGTTGTCTGCTATCAGAGGATCCAGGGCCAAATGGTTTTGGAGGAGCACTGGTACCTGGGAGGTAATTGGCCTTTGGAGGGTGTCAATGGATGCAACAGAGGCCTCAAGAGTCACCTGCACCCCGTCTTCCAGGTCCTACAAAGTGATGATGCCGTGGGATAGGGTTCTGCTCCCTACTCTCACGACTACAAAGAATGAGGCAAGGGATATTCCCACAACCAGCGGCAGAAAAAAAAATCTTTTACTTTTTAAAGACTTATTTATTTTTATTGGGAAGTCATATACACAGCAGAGGAGAAGCAGGAAGGAAGATCTTCTATCCATTGATTCACTCCCCATGTGGCTATAATGACTGGTGCTGAGCTGACCTGAAGCCAGGGGCCATGAGCTTCTTCTGGGTCCCCCACACAGGGTGTGGTGTCCCAAAGCTTTGGGCCATCCTCAACTGCTCTCCCAAGACTCAAGCAGGGAACTGGATGGAAAATGGGGCTGTCAGGACATGATCCTATTTTCATATGGGATCCCAGAGCATGTCAGGTGAGTACTTTAGCCACTAGGCTACTGTGCTGGGTCCAATAACACATTTTTGTTAAGAAAAAGAGACAGCTGGAGAAGATTGGATAACATTGACAATATTATTACATGGAAAGGAAATGGATATTGGTCCATAGCAGATAGGTATGAGCTATGGTATGGGAGCTGGAATTGTACAGCAAAGAATGGGAAAGAACGGGAAAAGGAACACTGTGAGAGAAGAGGTGTTCACAGGGTCAGTCCTGGGAACAGCAATTAAAGGGCACACACAAGAAAGGCCATCTGAAGCATTATCTACCGCTGTATGGTTAAGCATGAGTGTCCCATGCTGGAAGAGGTTGAATCAAGAGAAAGGATTACCAGTTTGTGGTTGTGTCGCGACTACAAGTTGTGCTGTATGGGTGGAATTTAGCTGACCTGCTGTATTAATTGCTGAGCACCATCAGAGGGGGCTGCGGAATCGGTATTATAATGGGCATTAGGATCAACACATGAGCAGAAGATTTTGCTAGACATTGAGGGAGTGGAGGTGACTGTGGACCAGTAGGCACTGCCCATCACTCCTTAGTCCACCTGGGGTGCCAAGGTTCCTTGATAATAATGGTCCAGGGATCTTCCTGTGGGTCTGTGGTGAATAGCTGCTCCACCCACCAGTCCCCAACTCATATAAGCTACTATCACAGGTCCTTACCTAAGAGTTTCTTGGAAGTGCTTATGAAGGGCATTTCCAAGTGCATTAAAGGCCTGGTATACAGCAGAGGGTGAGGTGAGGAGTCCCACAATGGTCTTTCTGACTGCTGAATAGAGAGGCTTGGCTAGAACAGAAAAGTTGGGTGTCCAATAGCAGAAGAAGCCTGCCAGGCCCAGAAAGGAACGCGTTTTTCTACACTGTCTGAGGGGAACAACAGACAGAAAATCCGGGTACAACTGGCCATAAGGGCCTCTTTGGTGTGTTGAGGGAAATTCCTAGGTAAGTAATCTGAGAGACACAAAATGTGGCCTTGTTCCAGGAGACACTACATCCCAGTGTGCCCAAAAGTTTAGGAGGGATTCCATGTGGCACTGTGAAAAGGGCAGGGACTGGCTGTAAAGGAGAAGGCCATCCCTATATTGGAGTAAGGTGCTGGGAGAAATGTTGCAGGTTAGAGAGGTCCCTAACCAATACCTGACCAAAGAGATGGGGTTACTTGGAAGCCCTGAGTCAGCCCTGTCCAGGTTGGAGGTGGGTGACTGGGTCAGTTCAAGTAAAAGCAAAAAGGAAACAGCAGTCAGGGTGAAGGAGAATAAAAATAAATAAAGTATCTTTGAAGTCAAGTATGGTGAAATGTGAAGTGGTGGCTGGGACCTGTGATAGTAGTTTATACGAGTTGGGGACTACTTGATGGAGAAGAATTAAGGCCTCATTGATGAGGCAGAGATCCTGAACTAGGTGATAAGTCCTTGACGGCTTCTGAACAGGTAAAATGAGATCCTGATCAAGGAATTTGGAAATTATAAGCTATATTCCCTTAAGGTGGGTATGGGAGATAGGAAATCTGGGCCATGAAGGGACAAGCAGGCACACTATTACCGGGGGTTGGTATTTAGTTATAACAGGCCCAGATCATTGGATCTACTCTTTCTATGGGAATATTGGCAGAGGGCAAATGGCATGATTGGGCATGAGTGATGGGAGGAAAGGGAGCAGGAAGTGAGAGGCTGAGGTTTTTTTTTTTGTTTTTTATGCCGGATAATTGTGTGGAGACACCCAGTTGAGAAATAATATCTCATCCCAAGAGCTGAATTAGGCAAGAGTGGATAGAGAGTATATGGATGGATTATGGTCAAAAGAGCAGAAGAGAGGCGCAGTCTGCCTGGGGACCCAAGGGGTCCTGTCTATGCCCATAGCCAAGATCTGGGAAGAGTGGTAGATCCCACATGGAAGGGTATGATGCAGTAGGTAGCCCCCATATCCACAAAAGGAACTATGAACTTACCCACTACCTGTAGTGTTATCCTGGGCTCAGTGAGAGTGATGTGGGTCTCTGAGTCCAGGCACTGTCAATCCTAAGCCATGCCAAGCACTTCCAGGAACATGTCCCTGACCTTGGGACTTCTCCCACATTGAGGCACAGAGGGTAGGGTCGTGCCCAGGCAGGCCAGTTTCCAGTATCCAGCCTGTTCATAGTTTGGTCAAGGCCTCCAGGGTGGCCTGGGGGATGGGCACTGTCATGCCCAGTGACCCTACTTGCTGCACTAAAAGCAGTGAAGTGGGGCAGTCTTGAATGGTGTTCCATGTGTGGCCACATACCATGGCTTCCATGGGGCTAACACCAACCGCAGAGTGGCCATTAGGGCTTGAGTTTGGAGGGTCACCTTCTGCTAAACCTGCGCCTGTTGTACAATATCTGCCTAATCCTCTCAGGCATTGTATACTTTGAATGCCGTTTAAACCAGGTCTAGGATATGGGTCTGGGGTCATCTTCTGCTTTCTTTGAGTTCTTCTAGATATCAGGTGCTGATTTGGTGATAAAATAATTTGCCAGAACTGCGGCTCTTATGGTTAGTGGGGGGGTCTAACTGGGTGTAGTGAGTTAATGCCTTGGTAAGACATGTAAGAAAAAGGGCCAGATTCTCTTCTGGCTCCTGAAGGTTCTTTGAGTTTTTCAAAATTTGCAACTTTGTTAGAGGCCACCCTCATACCTGCCAAAAGGCAGAGAACTGTGTATTCTCTTTGCTGTTAGCAGAACTGGCCATCCTGGATATTCCAATTTGAGGGTTCAGTTGTGGGGACCATCTCGGCCCCCACTGGTAGGATGTTATCTGTAAAGTGGACATTGTCAGCATGAATGCCACTGTGAGGATTCATTGCTTCTCATCTTTGGTTAAGGTTGAGGGCAGTATAATAGAGGTCATGCCTTATCAGGTCACATACCCAAGTTAAATAGGTAAATTATTTAATATAACAGGAAGGATTGGCCGAAAAGGATGCCACATGCTTTCCTACCTGTGAGTGATGTTGAAGTGATACATGAATGTGGACCTTCACTTCTCCAACTGCCCTGCCATCTCTCATAAGGGGTAGGAAGATGAGACCAGGTGTGGGAGCTGATGGGAAAAGGGAGCTCTGTGGGAGAGAGAGAAGGGCCAGGCTAACGGCTCATGAGCCAGGTTGACAGAGGAGAACAGGGAGGGGAGGACTGCATGAAGTGTAAAAGGGGACAGAGAGAGGAAGGGGTGGTCAGAGTGGCCGAAGGGGTTAAGGACTGGGGCGTGGGAGGGACGGAGCCAAGGACATAGACAGTGGCACGGTTTTCAGGTAGGGAGGAGGTCAAACAGGAGGAAAGGACAGATCCACTGGAGGATCGGTGAAGGGGGAGGGTTGTTCATTGAGAGAGAGGGGTTTGGAGATGTCCTGCCTAGGGTTGGTGGTGTCTGACCACAGTGAGCAAAATTAGGGAGGTAGACCAGGAAACACAAAGGGAGGGACAAGAGCAAAGAGTTAGGAATACCTGAACATATGGGATCTCTGAGCACCTTTTCATCCTGTGGCAGTAACTATCTAGCTTGTGGAAGATGTTAGTTTTGAAAGTCCTCTCCCATGGTCATTGTGACTGGTTGTCCATTGTGACTGGTTGTCTCAACTTGACACGACTGTTCAAAGCATCTTGTTAGGACATAGAGTTCCTTATAATCCCCTCAGAGGCTGTGTGATGTACAGGCCAAAACTTCTGGTGTCCCTAACTGCTCATCTATCCAGAAAAGTTAGGAAACAGAGAATAGTCATCCAGTCAAGAGGTCTCCACAACCAAAACAGGAAAGAGTCTCAGACTAGAGAGTGGATCCCTGACACAGCTTAGACTTTGGGCAGGGAGGCCCCCGGAACCAGGAGAGCCCCAGCAGAGTTCCCCAGGGGAGGGCTTACTTCATATCTTCCAAGCCAGCTGGATGGTGGTCCACAGGACTTGTCCTAGAGCCTGAGGTTTGGTCCAGGAAAGGAAGTGGCCTCAATGGGGATCCATGAGATGACATAATTCCTCCTGGTTTTCAGGTCCAAATGTCAGGCTGGGATTCAGGTTTAGAATCAGGATATCACAAAATACATGATTCAGCTCAAAGCAAGCTTTATCAGGAGTGCTTTTGGGCAAGGTTCACTGGACCAGGTTCACAGAGGGCAAGCCAGGGAAATCACACCCAAGGGTCATGTGGAGGCATTTTTATATGGAGGTCAAAACAAGAGATGGGGTGCAGTCTGGCAGGCAAAGACATTTGCCTTATACTATGTTTTGGAGTGCTGAGAAGTTCCTTCTGGCCTCAGCAAGTCCATAGGTCACCACTGGCCGTCGGGCCAGACAGGGATTTTCTGAGTGTAGAGATCTCTGGGCCAGGTTGCATCAGCCATCCTCTTTTGACACCTTTGCAGACCATCCTTCACCCACCCCGGTTGGGCCTTCTATTTATAATAGCTACAAACTTCAAAATCTAAATATCTGGCAACATTAAAATAAGCAAGCAAATAGTATATGCATACATACTAGAATTTGTGTT